TAAAGAATAACGCTTGACACATATAATGTAAAATTCAAATTGACCCATAAAATTGAAAAATATGAATCTTCGCCAGGAATGTCTATCTTATACCTTCCCCTCCACATATAGCGTAGCGTAAATTTTGTCATGAAAACTGTTCGAACTTAATAATGATAGGAATTATCCAGTTGATCTCGTTTTTACGAACACTCTTGATTTCAATTAAAAGAAAAAATTACATAAAGCATCGAAATTGAGTGAGTGAATTCCGGTACCATCATCAATCACTTCCACTCTTTCAAATCCCATTTTCTTCACTCGTATCTCTACAGTGTTTGCAGTAATTAATTTGCATGACACACACAAAGACTTCACTTTTTCTTAGATTCTTGGTATTTATGTTTTTCGAAGCTAAATGTTCCACTGTGATTTTATATAATAAAATAATTATCATTCAAATTATATCAAGCAGTAGTTAAAATGCTAAGATGACTAATCAAATATTTGATTGAAATTACGGCTCATGATTTTGTTTCAATATTAATCAAAAACTAAAACCCAAAAACTAAATAATTCTTTCTAATTCAAGATAATGTTTATGTGGTGTAAACATGATAGTACCATATCCAATAACAATCTTTTGCTTAATAATAAATAATAATCATGAAGAAACCGATAGTCTTGGCTTGAGCGTCCAAGGAATTGTCGATCAATTCTTTACATGCACCTGCCAACGTGATAATAACCTGACCCGTACAAATCTTCCGACATACCTCAGCTGGGATAGCATGAATCCGCGTATGGATCACCTGCTGACCGGTATTTTCCATCAACCCCAAACTGCATGAACACAAGGAGTCATTTCAATTTGGTTCACTTGTAAAGACATTTAGCAATTTTTCCAGTAACACGTGTTATGAAACATGTAAGCAAATACATTGTGTCTAATGTAATAAGAGAGTAAATCGTTGAGTAATATTTCAATTTTACTGCATAAAATAATCTTTAAAATTACACTTTTTTTAAACATATATCTTGAGGTAATGTACACGTAAACAAATGGACAAAACAATACATGATGGAAAAAAATACAAGAAAATCAAACATATACTAAAATCTAAATCCACTAGCATACTTCCCAACTTCATGCTTTTTTATCAGAAATTCCACATTTTTCTTTTCAATAAGACCATTATTTAAATATAACATATTACTGGTCACCTGTCAAATACTTATTAAGTGAACAATTCGTGGTCTAAACTTCAGCCACACTTCCAAAAGGTTTGCATATGGTCTAACTCAAGCACAATTGTTGGGACCAGCAGATACGCAACACAAAATGATTAAAAACTTGATTTACTCTTACTAGAAGAGCAGGGCAATATCAAATTATTCTTAAATGAACAATCTTCGTTACAACTTTTCATACGTCAATTTATAATCACATATTTTGCATGTCTTCCAATATTCATCCTTCTCCGAATCATATGTCTCATCACCGTAGACATGATCGTGAGCTTTGCCATAGCTGAATTTAAAAATTTTCGATCCATGTACCTGAAAATTGTTATGTCTGATAGAAATATTAGAAGGCCGGATATAGAGTCTGAAATCAAGAAAAAAATCATTCCCTAACAAGACTATGTGGCACAATAATTTTTTAACAAGTGTTAAACCGCTTATCAGATATTCATTTATATCAAGTCGATGATTTTATTGATTTCACACACATTCAAATACTGTTTTGGGGGGCGAAAAAAAATGCATAAAATCTAACTTGCTGCCTCATTTCTTTGATTTTCTTCTCGAAGCGCTTTTCTAGTCGTGTTTCCTTTTGTACGGTACGTGTTTCCTTTGCCTTTTCAAATTCCTCTTTTGATCCGTACACTTCCAAGCAACGTTGTTCCAACTACAAATGGTTATGAAATCGCTGACAAACAAAAAGCATCAAATTGTGAATAAGTAATAGCATCAAATTATGAATAAGTAATACTTTTCGTAAGAAAAAAGGGAAGGAACAACTGTGTCATGTTAACTTGAAAGGGCTGTACTTTTTTCTATAGGTTGTTTCACTCATTATTGTGTTTAAAGAAAATTACACGATATACTGAGATATAACTATATCCAGAGAAAATCAAAATAAGTCTAACATTGGAAATCATATTATTTTTGAGAAAAATGGTTCAAACTGCTTAGCGATTTATCCATTTAAACAATTAACCTTTTCACTAATAGGAATATGGAGTAGATTATGCTCACCGTATAGATATTTATAAGGAAATAGTCCCTTAAATCTCAAAATTATCAAGATTGAGAAATTTGAACGTTAAGTTTGAGCGAATGGGTCGTGATTAAAGAGAAGATAGAGAGACTTAAGTTCTCCTAGCATCCGTGCATTGTAAATTTACGAGCAAACAGTCTACGAAGCAAAATTTATGAATAGACTATCATTATAGATAAAAAGCTGCTTATGAAAATCCACATATTCGATATAAAACGGCTTTGGTCAGATTGCAGATTTCGTGAAACACGAATTTGCCATCTAGCTTTTTATTTATAATTAACAGCTACTCATTTGAAGTAAGTTCCACTCATCTTTTACATGTTCTACCGATTCGATCAGTTACTTGACTAAATGTTCTTATTTTATCGTAATTTAACTTCATTTACAGACCTTAAAATTATATTTTATATCGTATTTTTGACAGAAGGTCCATATTGCATTCTCTCTGAACCAAGAAAATTATCAACTTTAAATTATACTTGTGCTTTAAGGTACAGCTTCATATCACCATAACGAGGGTTGTGTGGATTCTTTTTTGAAATAAACTTCAAAACTGGTTTACGTAAATCAAGATCACAATCCTTCAATAGATACTGATTTTTAGCCTCCGTTCGCGAAATCAATTTGTGAGCACCTTGATCGTTTCTGAAAAATTTCGTTCCAAGCACAGATCAACTTCTTGGGTAAGAAATCTGCTTCAGAATCATAATCATTAAGGTTTCTAGCGCAATGCTAACCGTGTAGTGATATGTAGTAACAACTAGCCAGGTGCAAAAAACGCTAGCTTTCTTGTTCCGAACAATCACTACCTAGTCCAGCATTTTTTTGAGAGTCTGATCCTCAGGAAGGAATTGAACTAAGTGGTCACTATTTCGTTTCTTTTTTGTGGGTATTAATCAGTAATGTAAAATATCCACCGACTTTCGATGCGGTAATGTGTCTCATTAAAGAATCGTAATTTCCGTTCTGAAAGCTTCGAAAATTTACAATTACGAAAAACAACAGAAACTTCGTTAGCTATGGATGAAAGTATCAACAGAACAAACCTGCATGTATTACAAACAGGATAATTGAACTTTTCCCACAAATACGAGTCACACAATGGTTTTTTACAGTCGATACAATTATCTGGTGGTATCAGAGACCTTGAATTAGCCGCTGCTTCATCTGCACCTGCAGTTACAATTTCCGTATTAAATTTCCGTACAGGAAGACATAACGGGAGACATAATCCTTTTAATTTTTTCCACTGGCTTTTTCTTAATGTTTTGAAATAACGGCGGCAATAGTTTTCGCCCGGAATCTAACTAAATTTTACGTTTTTGACGCGCTACCGCTATACGCTCCCGTACACTAGCGTATTCGTCATCGTCATCCAAAAATCCACCAGCTTCTTCATAATCCCCTTGTGTTTTCCTGTAAATGGTTCTTGGAAAAGTCAAACTTCGTTCTTCTCTTTTTCTTTAAATATAATCATTTTATTTCATACAGAGACCAAACCATATATATGACTATCAGGCCTCAATTTTTTCCGTTCCCAGAAATGATCACCGACTGTTTGGATATTAAAATTGACGAATTCGGAATTAATTTTCTCATTTTTCGAAAGTTCCATTTTTTTTCTTTTTGGTTTAATTACTGCTTGAAAATTACAAAATCACTAAAGTTTGTGAACTAATCCGTTTACTTTCTTGCAGAATTTCCTTCCTGTAAATGCTTAATTTCAAACTTCATTTGGCAATTATCCACATTCTAAAACACTTGCAACATTTTGCACCTGCCGGTATTTTGGCTTTGATAGGCGTGCTCAGTTAGGAGTTAGGCACTAAATGTAAGCAATAAAATCATCAACAGATGGGAAATATCTGAATTTCAACTGCTTAGAAATTCATTTATGTTCTTTTTTTTTAAACTCAAATTCAATTTTGGATTCGAAATATTACAGTTCACTTTCGATTTTCTTATATTTTAAACGCAACCCCCGTAACATTTTTATATTTACTCATCTGCTTTTGTATCTCCTCTTTTGAATTGAACAAAACTTTGTTGCATCGTTAATTTTGCAACTTCTACAAATTCGCTTAATGCCAAAATTAAATTTGTTTAATACGGTACCTGTAAAGCCTTTCCACATATGGAACGTAACCGTCACCGTTATTTACATGGCCATCCAGTCGCTGACGTTTCATTTCCTAAAATAATGATCATATTTCAAGTTTCAAACTTCCCCAAACCTAATGCTTCTATTAGTATTTGTGCACGTGTTTTTGCTCTCCACTCTCCAAAAAAAAAAAAAACGAACTTTGGTCGACTTTTCGAAATTCGAAACAAGATAGCTGAATTAATGAAGTCAGATGATAACAGCGTCTTACGCAAAACAACCAGTCGGTTCTAACATTTATCAAACTTGGCGATGCAACAATAAAACGTTCCAAGAAAATGTATCATATTCAGAACTGAATAAATGAATTAATTCAATTGAGATTATATCAAATAAAAGATTCCGGACAAATGAAAGGAGAACATGAACAAGTGAATAGAATTAATAAATGAATAAAAATAAAACAATAAACAAATGAATGAATGATTAAATCATGTGGAATGACAAAAAACCTGAAATTTCCACGTGAAATATCCGTTAAATTATATAACACTAACTATGTATAAATATATTCCAATCCAAAATATCCAACAAGCTTTTTCTCAAAAATATTCCCTCAATAAAAGATAAATCCCGAGAACTGGTATTCCGCCATTATCAACAGAATGTGCGGGGGAAAAAAATTTTCCCTCCCTGTGAGCATATATTTCATATTGTATGTTGGTATTTGACGGATGGTCGCTGTAATTTTCTTTTTCTTTTTGGGCGAATGATGGAAAAATGAGGTTTAATGGGGAATGGGAAAGGTCGGAACATGCGTGTGTATAATTTGAATTGTCAATCATTTCCATCAATGATTTTTTTCTCTATCAGGATCGAGTTTATCGTCAAAAATTGCATCCTTTTTTCATTTTACAAAAGTGACATTTCTATTATGTGTATTTTAAGAAGGATAAAATAGAAAAAGAAAAAAGGAAAAAATCTTTTGTAAGAAAAAAAAAGAAATAAAATATTTCAAAGTTTATAAAGTGATTAGTTATTCGTTCTGAAATTATTTGTATAGATATACTTTTATATTTTAAATAATCACTCGTTAAATTAGCTTCTAATTTTTTCCTTTTCTCAAAGATTTCTTTGCAAGGAAGCGAAAAGAAAGATGTCATCACGATTTGGTCCTCGAGCTACGGGTACCGATGGAACAGATTTCAAGCATCGTCAACGAATTGCAGCACATTATCATTACAGGTATTATATTTAAAAATATCTTTATCATTTTTAACTATTCATATGTAATAATGTGGGAAAGATTAGGGAAAAATAATGAACAGGTATAACTAAATGTAATGTCATAATTCTAATAGATGTCTTGGTTGCAGTTGTGAAATGTTTTCGTTGGATGAACATAGATCAAGCATTATTTACATGAATAGTTAGGCATATTATAATATTATAATAGTTATCAAGTGTGGAATATTATTATAATATTTGTTAAAAAGAAAGACAATAATAGCTAGCAACTGTTTATTCATTAGCAGCAGTAATGGATAAGCAGTTGTTAGCTATTATTATCTTTCAGCAGCTGACTGTGAGATCTTTTTTTCCCATAGATGATATGGAATTGGAATTGTGACGTGAAGTTGGAGATCGCTTTTGGAAGAGGTTAGAACTGTAGTGAATAAGGAAATTAGATGGTGCGTTATGAAATGAAGATTAATTAGGTTGAGGTAGTTGAAATAATGTTCCCCCTCAAAAGAAAATATTTTGAAGTTTTTGATGCATAATAAAAATAACGTTTTATTGTAGTGCACTGTATAAGATGTACTTGAAACTGTTGTTCGGGCTTCATTTCCTAGTACTACTGACAATGTGGATTAAAGTTGGCGGTGAAATACTTGTTGAAGAATTCGGCATACGATGGCGGTTTTATCAGTCTCTTCAGCTACCCAGTGCATATCCATGGGAATATGTTTGGTGTTTTTCATTCATCCCATTGATATTTGCCCTGATCTCGTTTAAACGAAATAAGGTTAGTTCGCAATGTCAAAGAAAGATTGATAGCTAATGTTTGTAACAATAGAGACATCATGAAGTAAATATCTTAAAAATATTAAGGTAAGGCATTTGAATTATTTTATACATCCTTAATGTAATTCATTTTCACACTCATTCATACATTACATAGTAAAATTGTAATTCTTAATTTTGAGCTCGCAACATCCATATAATGTACAGTGGATTTCTACCGTATCGATGATCTGTTTATAGTTGATATTTGACCTGTTTTCCATGTTCAATAACTTATGAATTTGCGTGTAATTATTTGCAGATAAACTTGTTGCGTAATCATTACTATGGGCAGTTTATTATGGGAATTTTACCGTGTGCAGTAGGTGTTGGTGGACAACTACCAGAACTTATTGATTATTTGCGTGACATGAAGAATAGTCAGACGCCAACATTTCGTGGAACTTTCCCAATGGTTATTATTTGGTACATTTTTTTCTTGATCGCTTTGCAGATACATATTTTTGCCATGTATTTCTCTTATCATTTGATGGCAGCTTGGCAACCACCGAAGAAGAAAGATTAGATACATTATTTCTTTCAATTGTTGGACAGTGCATGAGTGTTCTGGGATAAGATGAATTTTGACGAAAAAACCTGGGTTTTAGCATTTTCTGATGATCGACTAAACCATATCATTTTCGGTGAACGGATTTGCTGTTGTATTTGTATGCGTAATGATTACACCATAAATAGATATCCTATATTTAGTTATCTAAATCTTGGCCAATTACGGAAATAGTAGCCAAAAACCGGTGGTTTCCATGTTCTGAAAACAAATTCCATAATTTAGTCGCAGTTGACCAACGAATGGATTTCATTTTTGAACTAACTGTCCCAACCAAAACAGTTAGACCAAGCTTTAGATTTGAGATACAAAATCAGGTAGGAGATTCTTATGGAAACAGTTTGGTTTTTTCTTTTACCCACGAGCTGTCCTAATATTTAAATTTGCTTTTCGTGTCGATTCATGATCATCTAGTCTCTTTGGTGATAGTGACTTGTGAGTTTTTAGCTCTCAGGTTTTAATCCGTTAGGAACTTTTTTATTATTCTTTATCAGCTCTTCTCAATGTCATCCTCTTTATCAGTTCATTCATCCAACTTTGCCCAATTGCACAAGCTTTCTTTTGGGTGAAGTTATACTTTTTTTCCAGTTTTAACTAAATATACAATTCAGGCGTTAATGTAACCGCAGTACAGATTACTTTACTTTTGATGAATTTCAGAACATTCCACATACGTCTAAGTAAACAACTTAAATCTGAATCTTAAATCTTTGTTGTTTACTCCTCTGCACGCTTGAATTACTTCGGAAACGATTTTTAGTTGGTGTCATTCAGTTACTCCGAGAGAATGTGAAAGATTAGGACCGGTACAAATTATTTTCATTAGATTATGTTGTGTACTTCGTTTTACTTTAATTTTGATATTGTTCGATATTGTTTTATTTCGATTTCATGCAGCATACATGAATAATATAGTACAGATGGAGTTGGCATAGGATTTATTAGATAATGAAAGATGCAACTTATTATTTTCCCCTATGCATGTGCTGGGCACATTTTAAAACGATATTTCTGCTTAATGTGGAAGAGATACTCAACTTATCATGATTCCAGAATACCGAAAAGGCGTCTGAATCAATTTACGATGAATGTTATATTGGAAATATTTTAATTTCCTCTTTCCTACTTGATCTGTATCGTTTTTGGGCTAAAGTACGAAAAGTCGTGCAGTAGCTATCTGTAAAACAACAGGAGGTGACTTGGATATATTTTCTAGTGGAAATGATTGTAGGACACATTTCCTAAAACTACAAGCAAGTTTAAAGGCCAGTTGATTGAAGTTGATAGACTTATCAGCAGACTTACTGAGGCAAGTTGATATTGAACATGGCCAAATAAATTGTTGGAATTTTAAATTATTTATCTTGAATTAGTAATACTAAAACATTTTCTTGAGCTTTTCGCTTTTCTTTGAGCTTTTTTGTTTTATACAGGTATTCTCTTCAATAATTCGTACAGTAGCTATCTGTAAATAGCAGGATATTTCATTGATAGATTCACTGGGATATACTTTGGATATACTTTGTCACTTTGGTCGTTTGTCTTGGCCACACAGTTTAATGCAGCAAATGAAAGATGTGAAGAAGTATAGTCCAAAATCTTGTTTTTTACAATTCAGTTTCCGAAGTTGAAACTGATCCTCTCTGGCTTGCAATAAAATCCTGGAAGATCTATGAGAGAATAACTTCCAGAAAATTTTTCCGAATTTTAATTTGTAGGAAGGAAATAATAGACTTTTAAAAGCTAGTCAGAATTATTGGGCGATTGTGCTAAGGCTCAACAATGTTATAAACAAGATCTCTGAATCCATTTGGATTAAACTATGTTTGGTCAAACACAGGCTTGATACCCATATAAAGCAGAAAAGCTGAACGTTTCAGTGCTATTAATTCGAAGTAATTAATTTAAAATTTCTACAACCTAGCCGCATTCAATCTTAGATTATTTGAATCAGCTACTGCTAGGTTTGCTCAACCTTAATTAGCTACACCTTGGACTTGCTTGTAGTTTCAAGAAATGCATCCTACTCAAAAATGATATGATCAAGTGAAAGAGAAAGTCGCAATATTTCCAGTCTGATATTTATCGGAAACTCATCGGGATTCCTTTTCCGGTGAAATTCATATAAATGTTTTCTTTATTCTGAAACCAGGATAAGCTGAGCACTTTTTTTCGAGTTAAGCGGAAATGATTGTGCCTCACAGATGGATGGAAGCAATGATAAATCGGTGTCAGAATGATTGAATTTTGAAATCGTTGACCAGAAATAAATCTTACCAACTAAAAAACTGTCGATGTATTGTTTACAGTATTATAAAATATTCAAATATTAATCCTTGCAAAGAAATGTCATTAAATCATTCGCCGAATATTTCCTTCAGATGAAATTTGTATAAATATCCGAAAAATGACATGCAATATTGTTGGGAAATATTTTAAAACGTGAACAAAGTTTTAAATTTGTAATTCCAGTCCATTCACCGATGAAAACTAAATGATTGTTATATAAAGACTGATCAAAACTTCAGATTCACTTGAAG